AGTCCCCCATCAGCCGTGTTGGCGTGAAACATTGCCGTTGGGGTGTCGCTTTGCAGATGTAGCCATTTCCTAACATATCTTCTTATCGTCCGGTCTATATTTAGAAGAGTCTTAAGACTAACGTGCACCAACACTAGTGTATGGAGCATTCCTCCAATCACATTCACCTTAAGTGCGTGCAGCCTTTGCTGCGGTTTGAAACTTGCCTCTGATAGTCTGTCGAGTTGTACAATCAGTTTCTTCGTAATCTCTCTAATGTCGTATCCGTTGGCGCCGATCTTGAGTCCTAGATACTTGTAGGTCTCCCCTAATTTAAGTGCGGGGACGACCTCTCCGTCGATGGTAAGGTACGGAGTCGGGTCCACATAGCTCTTCTTCAACCTTCCATTTGCACGGATAGCCAAAGTAGCGCATTTCTTGGGATTCATTTTCATGCCGCATTTTCCTAATTCCCTCACTGCTAATAACGTGTTCTTGACAGAGCCTATCCTAGTTGCCGCCACGGTAACCCCGTCATCTGCAAATAGTGCTTCGGTAATGTCATACCCTCCGGGTCTCATCTTCTGCGTTATAGAACACAATTCTTGCGGTGCTGCTGGGTCGGGTACCCGGTACCCTATCCTAGGGTCCAACTTCTCGTAGCACATGTCTAACGATGCGTCGAACAATGGGGCTGATTTTTGGCATCCCTGCCTAATTCCCATGGTCTGCTTAATTTTCTTTTCGCCTCCCTTGAATTGAATTTCTGCTTCTTCGTACACAAGAGCTATGTACTCTCGTAAGGATGCGGGTATCCCAATCCTTTCTGCTGCCTGCAGAAGGCTAGTGTGTGCTAGCGAGTCGAAAGCTTTCGCCACATCCATAAATACTAGGAACAGATCTTCCCTTCTTGCCCTCGCACCCTTTATTAGATGTTCAATAATGAATGCGTTTTCAGCTATTCCATCCCTTGGCAGAAATGCTTTCTGCCTCTTGCTAAGAGGAAGCCTTACTAGTCTCTTAGCTAGAATTCCATGGTATAGCCTCAGTAACTGGCTCGTCACCGTGATGGGCCTGTACTGCCCTGGATTTTCCGGTTTCGCGTTCTTGGGTACTAAAGTTACATTCCCTAGTCTCAGGAATTTGGGCGTATAACTTGACCCTTGGAATATCAGTAACATTGCGTGGAGTACTTGTACTGGTATCTTTGCCACATCAGATTTCTTCAACCCGTCCGGTCCCGGAGAGTTATCCTTGAGATTCCTCAAACCTTCCTTAATCTCATCAAGAGATATAGGACTTGAATAGCTTGTGTCTGCAGGTCGATTTTTCGTATCAACCTTCACAACGCCTTCCGGTTTTCTGGAGAAAATACTAGCCCAGTATTCCTCTAACTCTTTCTTAGGTATCACCTGTGTGACTTCTAGGTTTCCAGATAACACCGCGTTTATGCAGCGCGAAGGGCTTCGCTCGTAAAAAGACTGAGTGAGCTGTCTCAGTCTTGCCTTCTCTTTCTTCTTACTTATGAATGGTTGCTTTTTATCTGGTTGCCTTACTGGTTTCGGTTTAGGGTTTCCTTCCCACCTCACCCATTTGAGTAACTGCTCCCTGACCCAGTCATCAATCACCTTTCTGTCTGCACCAACTCCCGTCTCCTCCTCATGGTCCCAGACATTACCAATTATATCCTTGTACAACTCCATCTGTCCCTTTAAAATCCGACAGTGTTCATATTTGGCATTCTTTCTCTGAGCAATTGTCAGCGTTGACTTCCTGATGAACTCATTAAGTTCCTCCTGTGTTGCCACATCCTGCGTCCATATACAACTGCTCTCTCCATCTTCCACTTCCCCTTCAGCTCCTTGAAGTAGCTCAGCAACATTTGGTGTTAAATGCTCTTCGCCTTCAGGTTGTGAGTCTGTCATGTCGATCTGTCGCTGTCCCTCTCTCAAAGCGTCTCTCCTTAGGTGTGCCAGTCCTGTCGCCCTCCCTTCAGTCCCCAGAAGTGGGTTCTGTCGGTCGTTCTGTCGTTCTGGTTCCATCCTTTGGTTCAGAAGTCCTTGAGTCGTGTCCAGTGTCCCAGATGCCGGACCACTCCTAGATGGCCCTTGACCCTCACCCCTGCCCTCCTCTCCCTCCACTGAAGCCCCTTCTCCCTCGTCTCCAGCGATGCGCAAACCTTCCGTAACCAACTTCGCCAATTCATCCTTTACTAGCTCCTTATAAGCTTCCTTCCTTCTCTGCCCCTTAATAGCCTCCAGTGATCTTCCCGGGCAAAGAGGGAAAAGCGCTTCATTCATGAACTTCGCCCCCTTCTTCATCAATAAGGCTTCCTTTTCGGCTAAGTCTAACAACTCAGCTGGTGTCCATCGCACCAATCTTCTACTGTTGTGGTCTTCCTTGGTCGCCTGGTCAGTTACTTCTCTATGCGTTCGTGCCATATGCACCCCCAAGCCTTGCTTGGTTACAAAAGATCGATTACAAATTCCACATCTCGCTCCTCCCTCCGATGCTCCCTCCCCTTGCTTCTCCACCTCCTCTCCCTCCCCCACCCTCACTTGGGTGTTCACCCCCC